AAATTAAATCTAGTACGGAAAATTTGTTTTTGCTCCGATTTTTACAGCGATTTAGTCCTGAATTGAGTTTTTGAGATCCGAGCACTACTCTCTACATTTGTATGTTTTACAAACCTTAAACCGCAGTGTGGACAGCGATAGTTAGTGATGGGGTTAAGTTCGATTTTAGATGGTTAACATTTTGGTGGGGATATGGTATAAGAAAAGCAATTGACTGCGTTTTATTTTTGGCTTTGGCAATTCAAAGGCAGATGTCGCTGAGATCTTTAAGTTCTTCGAAATTGTCGAACTGGTAAGTACATACTAGTTAATGAACTAGTATTTTTCTAACTGGTTTTGATTTACACTGCAGGGGAGCTAAATAACGCTGAGGAATATTTATGTTCCATCACTTGTACATATTTGGCCTGATTAAGAGTCTCTGAATTACCCCACAGCTCTAGATACTTGTAGAGCCATAGCAAAATAAAGTTATATTCGCTCATTGCCTCTTTTTCACTTCTTTTTAATTTCTATTCCACTTGTAGTTTCAGTTTTTAAGTGATTGTTATAATAATGCGCCAGTTTCTATGAATGTAAGCCATGCGATAAAAAAACTCTTGTTTTCAAGTTCAAGGCACTCGTTTACAAGACATATGAAAATCAAATACGAGTACTTATTTACATATTATATAATGTTATAAATGATAAATTACATTCAAGTCGCAATATATTAACCGCTTATGTCTGACAAGGTTCATTTATTGTGTTTTGCTTTTTTTGTTTATTTTTTTATAATCAACATTTACTCTGCGCATAGCCTACCACTAGTATTCGATGCTGTTCGCTTGAAGCTAGTATTACTTTGGTACTTTTTCATAGTTTTTTATCAACTACTCATACTTGACGTCGTAGAGTGGAAGTCGCTTTCACTGAATTCGTACTATAATTCCAGGAATTTAACAGGAAAAAAGTTTAACAATTTACATATACATAATTAATCGCAGATTTCCGTTTTGAATTTCTGTTGAGCCCTGCGAAAGTTGAGACTTCCTGTTTTTATTTAGGGGAAGGAAATTCCCGTAATTAGTGGTGATTCAGAGTATAATCATTCGAATACAAACTTTTCCCCAAACTAAATATTTGCTCCAACGGAAAGTGCAAATGTAATACATGCTTAAGGAGACGGTTTCTTCTTCTTGCTATTTTGACGTAACCAACAACGAATGAAATTATAAATGCGGCTTTTTAGTAGTACTTACTTGAACTTCACCACCATTTTTGATATGTGTATTTTTATTTAAATCGTAGTTAACTTTGCACATTTAATGGCCAAATCGGAGGCGACTACTTTTGAAAACAATCAGCTATTAAACCACTTTAAAAAGCTACTATTTGTTGCAAATTTTGGGTCTCCGGCGTCATTGGTGCACACTTTTGCAAGAACAGCATAACTGGGACCACCATCGTCAACAGAAAGTATGTACTACAAAACAATGATAACCAATTTCTTTTGACCCAAATTCATATGGTAATGCCGCAGGTCTGCACTACATCTATCGTTTCTTTAATACCCTAGGCATTTAAAAATCCTCTGCCCTAGATTAAGTTAAATTGAGAGGGACACTTCAACCCAGAGGTGTCATTATGGTACCATTGGACACCTCACTTATTTCCATCCGCTCACTTAGAAAGAGAACCCATTGCCTATATTAATAAAATGAGAGTCCATGAGTTACAGTCCATCAGATGGTCAGACAAGTAGTGGTGAAATGAACCTCTTCTAGCTCTTGCGACGGCTGGGTGGAGAAAGAGATCGCACTCTATGCTTTCAATTACCTCCTCTTCACGGCAGCTCCGGCAGGAGTTGTTGGCAAACAGCTTCAGTTCTACTAGCACGTATTCCCATTAAGCACTGATGGTTATAATTCCAGCTACTTGCCTCCGTCGAGGATGTTTAAGGCGGTTAGGTGAAGTTGACCTTTTCTTGTCGCAAGTGGGTCAGATTTATCGATCGTCCCACAGGACCTCCTTTATTTTCCTTCTAGTAGAAGTGTGATTTAAGCCATGACTTGCATTACAGCAGTTTATCTGCATGACGAAGGGAGTTGACGTCCGATAGGAAGGTTCCTTTTCTCGAGAGGGAATTACATCTTTATATATATATATATTAATCTTGGCGATTTTTAAAAACCCCTTTGGCGCAGCTCAAAAATCAGATCCGAAAATATATATGTGGATGGTTCCGTATAGCAGTAGTTTTCTAGCTAGAGAATATATCACGAAGAAAAAGATATTTACATTAATTGGAGATAAGTCCTACGAATTGAGCTATGCATTAAAATCGACCCAACAATTTTTTTTTTTTTTTCAGTGTTATCAGTTCGTCGGAATTTAAATTTTTTTTATGTATACGTAACGTAACCGATTTGTATAATTCTTATTTTAAAGGAAAGGTTTTACCTCAAAGGTGGCCCCAAACTAATTTTGTTTAAATCCGATCATTGGGTCATCAAGAAATTAACGATAATCTTAAATTTTTATATGAGAATTGAAGTTGGTTATGTTTTTTTTTTTTTGTGTAAAAAATACTTTCTAAAGCGCAAGTTTGAAGTAGCTACAACTTGTTGTTGATTTTTGGCAATTTTTTTTCGCTCATTTTCTTGCGTACAAATTATGTTTGACAATTTTTTTATATGGAGCAAATGGGCAACACCTTTCACAAAAAATTGCCAAACATCAACAGTAAGTGCCAGCTACTCAAAAGTTGTAATATGCACTTAAATATAATTTTATACAAAACTACATACTTAGGTTGTTTATAAGAAATTTTATTGAGCAGCAAAAAACTTTGACGAATTTTGATATTTTTTGATATACATAATTTTTGTTAGAAAACACGCTACTCTTTCATAGAAAAATAATGTTTAAATATCGCTTCCCCATTTATATTTTCGCTACTGTATGTATAGGAAAATTACACCGTACCAACTTACACGAAAACAAAAAAAAGTTCGCCTTACACCATTGAGTCTAAAGTAAATTGCAATATAATTACGAAAAAACATTTTTTTTTGCCGAACTTAGGTGTCGCTGTTTATACCCGAGCGCACTTGTGCACAAGGGTATTATAACTTTGTTCACATAACGGTTGTTTGTAACAGGCAAAACGAATCGAGATAGATATAGACAAATGTATACATAAATGATCAGAATGAAAAGAGAAATCGATTAAGCGGTGACTGTCTGTCCGTCCGTCCGTCCGTCCGTCCGTCCGTCCGTCTGTGCACACGATAACTCGAGTAAAAATTGAGATATCTTAACGAAACTTGGTACGTGACCTTCTTTTGGGCGTGGGACGGATGGTATTGAAAATGGGCGAAATCGGATAATAATCACGCCTACCTCCCATATAACGGTAATTTTAAGAAATACGAAAACTGCGATATTTTAGTAACTACTAAAGATAATTCACTCAAAATTGATATTTGCAATGAGTTTTAGACGAAAAATAAGAATATTACAAAATTTTGGCAAATGGGCGTAGCCACGCCCACTTATGGTTACATGTGTATATCTTGGTAACCGCTGCACCAATTTCTTCCAAACTTGGCACAGTTGTTGGTCCTGGTACAGCATACCAACTGGCCGAAAATTTCTAAAATCGGACAATAACCACGCCCACATCCCATATAACGGTAATTTCGAGAAATACAAAATCTTCGATAAATCAGTAAATATTGAAGCTAATTTATTCAAAATTGATGATTGCAACAATTCTTTACCAAGAAATACGCTTATGACAAAATTTTGGAAAATGGGCGTTGCACCGCCCACTTGTGATCACATATATGTATCTCGCTAACCGTTCTAGCAATTTGTACCAAGCTCGGTATGGTTATTGCGCTTGCCACATAAAAGCAAACCGTTGAAAATTGTTGAAATCGGACTAAAATTGAGGCCACTTTTCATATAACGGTAAATTTCAGATATGCTTGAAATTTCAATATTTCGAATTTTAAGGACGCTAATTTACTTAAAATGTATACACCCCGGCTTATCATGTAGCGGTAGCTTTTGGAAAGGTGCAAAACATATATTTAATACTTGCGCCGGGTATTTAATGTTCGGCTCCGCCCGAACTTAGACTTTCTTACTTGTTTTTCTTTACATTCGGCATTAAAGACTTTTTTCAAGTAGTTCTACTAGAACAATCTATATGCTTTCTTAGCAAAATTTCAGACAATTACAGACATTAGGGTGGTACGTTAGTGTGATAAAGACTGTGATCTGCTCGATAAGTAGTAAAACGGGGTACTTGAGAAATTTTACCCTCGATACCAGAACGTCACTATATCATACTTTAAGATCCGACCGTAAATGCCGAAGATATGACAAATAGGCATAGAAGTAAAAAAGCCAACCTCTACATTCGGCCAAAACAAAAAAGAATAAAAATACTTTTTTCTGGTATGCTCTAATGTGTGTACATAAATATGTATTTGACAAGCTTTCTCATACCAAGCTCGCATCACTTACTCACTCTCATCAATCAAACATCACTTAAAACTCATTTAAATGTCTGTAACTTACATACATACAAGCAGCTGAAAAACTACGAAAGATAGAAAACAAGACCAACAACAAACAAGTTTGGATAAGAAAATCCAGCACAAAAACTTTTGACTATGAATTTTATGTATGCAAAAGTTGATGCGGCACTTTGACACTGCAATTACGAACGCCAGCAGCCGCCGAAAAAATTAGCTACTAATCAGCGTATCAACATTTTAATATGCGGCGAGAGAGGATTAGGAGGAAAAGTAAGCCATTGAAGAAAAAGGCTAATTTTAGATTGTTGGAGTTGTCGGAGGTTGAGCGAGTCAAAGTGAAAATGCTAAGCGTATGTATAAACTGGCGGCAACTTAAACGAAGAGTGATATACTTATACACCACTGCTTGTGGTTTCAAGTAAAAGGGAACCATGAAATTTGCTGTCAGATAATTTTCAAGCACCACACCAATACCGCCACTAACGCCACAGCCGCTGCCACTAATGAAGTCGGGGCTAATGATATTTACGCTGATGAAAGCCATAATGTTGATGAGCTAAAGATGCTGACAGAAATTTTGTAAACACCCTTAGCGCACTCGCCTCGGTCCCGCCAGCGTCAGTAAGCGCAAGGTGGCGTGAATACTTAGCTGCAAGTGACAATGCTGCTTGGCTGTAACATTTGTAAATCTCTCAAAAATAGGGACACCCGTACGCATTGCCAACGGATGTAGCGACAATTCGCGCACGCTCCTCTTCCGCCGGGTTTGAGACACAGCCAACTACACCCCTACACACCAGTGTTAGCTGGGGACGGGAGAGGTTTACGAAAATCTGCAACTAACTATAAAGTTTTGCGCAAGTAAGCCGCAAATGACAACAATAACAATAAAAGTAACTAGTAACTAGTCACACCAACACGAGTGACAGTAAGTAAGTAAGTGAAAAAATAATAATAAAAAGCGTCGAGAAAGTGTTAAACAAGTGTTGAATTATATGGAAAAGTGCAATGAAGTGAAGGCAGCTCAAAATTACGCTGCAACAGCAAAACCACTGATGATGCAACTGCTACACTCTACGCGCTGTGGCAACAGCCGAAGTTTGACTGCATGTGGCCCTGTGTATGAGTGCAGGAGTGCGTTAGCAAGCGACGGTGCGGTATGCAGCGGGGTAGCACGCAATGCTAGCGGAAAATGCAAAATTAGTATTCATGCCTGCAGTGTCATTTCTAGTGCGCCGCATATCCGCCGCGCAAACTTTCGCAAGCACGCGGAACAAGTTGAAGATTGATAGGCCACGCCAGCCAAATGCTTGGCAGATAGAGAGTTAGAGAGAGGGAGAGCGGATAGGGGTGGGCGTTGGGTTGACTGTATAGTAGAAACGCACCGGATGCTGTGGCCGCGTGACGCGTGAAATGAACTTTATACCGCAAATGAAGCAAAGCGAGATACGCGGTATGGTAATACCAACAATAACAATAATTGCATTCGTTTACATCTGCAAAACCCATCGCACAAAATTTTTCAAATGTAAATTTTTCTAAAAACGTTATATAAGTTACATACATATATGTAGGAGATGTAGTATTTTTTCGTGAAATTGGATTGAAAAAATGTAATCCTTTGTATATCCACGTCATAAAGATATGAACGGCAGTAGAAAATCTTTTATTCTCAGAAATTCCGCACATTTCCAAACCTAATATCTTTCCAAGAATACCTGTGTCAAGTTCTTTTATATAGAGTCGCAGTTGAGCAGGTTCGATGCAGTGGAAAGGTAAAGTCTCTCTATCAGCCTTAAGTTCAGGCGCTATTTCCCTTCTTATGTAGACTATGGAGACCCAAAATTCACCAAGTTAAAGTTTCCTTCGATCAGGTTCTTAAAGTTAGCCTTAGTCGAACAAATTCTACAGAATAAGTAAGAAAACACCATCATTTCGAACATAGAATATCGATTGCTTTTGTGAAACTTTATGCTCAGCATTAAGCTACAGTCGGCTTTGTTACTAAACAGAGTATCAGACACATTTTTTAAATGCAGTCCAAGGCATTATTTTTCGCAGGTACTTGCCAGATTGAAATAAACTGCAACATGAATCCAGATTTTACGATGCCCACTATTTCCGTATGAAGCGAATTCATGAAAATTTCTATCCATAAATTTTAAAGAACGAGAGTTGTTTCTTTAGCAGTATTCCCGTTCCCTTAGAAAGTACAACTTCATGGGTCCCTAAATAAGACCTTGAACAAGAAGAAGTGTTACAATTTTGAGTTTGACGACATATTTTTACCAATCTTATCGAGTATTTTGTTGGCTGTAAAACTTGAGCTCCAGCGACTGAAATATCCGCATTCTGCTATGATCACTGGGTGATTATATCACCCGTATGTATGTATGTATGTACGTACTGCTGGATTTCCCTAAATTTTTTCACATTTTTCTTCTAAAGTGGTGCGCTTGCGACTGGCCTGCCTTCACAGCAGCTTGCTCAGCAATTGCTGCACAGCATGTAAATCCTTAATTATGACATTACTTTGCATATTAGCGGGCACGTGGTTATACACACGCTCGTACTAACGCACACACACACACACATGCATACACAAACGCCATTGGAGTGAGCAGCAATTTACAGCCGTTAACAAAGTTACGCTACTCATTCATTCACACAAAAAAATTTATTTTTTTTTTTTGCTTCACTCTTCCTCTTCCAACTACTTACTTCAAGTTATTATGATAAATAGCGTTGGCTGAGCAGCTACGGCAACAATAATAACAGCACAAGTGGGTGTAGTGTGTGCAGTAGCGCATGGGTAGATATCAACTACTGCCGCGTCGGCATAACACTTCCTTTTTGGCTGTCACATGCTTCCTTACTGTCTGAGGCGTAACTATCAGCAAAGCAATTTTTTTTTTAATTTTTTCGCTTAACTGTAAAACTTTTCTATGCACTTAATATGCGTTGCAAGTTATTATCGAAAGCAAGTTTTAAAGCAGCAAGTAAAGAGGAGTGCTTGCGCATGCGCGCCTCTTCTTTTCTGTTTAAATTCTTTCTCTGCTTTGTCGCCGCCAAATAAAAGTGCGTGATGTGCAAGTCAAGTGGCATTTTTCATTTAAAAACTTATGTTTTATTACAGACTTCCTTTGAGTTTGCTGAGCTTTGTGGGAGTAGTTCAACTGTTGGTTGAACTAAATCCTTTGAGTGACACTGACACCGAGGTACTCTTCTGTTTAAGCATTTTAAAAAAGGCGAGGAAGACATATTCCTTTGTTAAATGTCATAAAGTTTTGTATTCACATATGAGCAAGTTTATGCAAACTTTATTAAAAACAAAGTATGTTAATATTAAAAGAAGTTTATCTGGTTGCTGCGATGTTTATACTTTGAGCTGCTTAAAAAATAGTAAATTGCTTATAGGATTATTTGCTTTGATGAAAAAAGTTAGTTACTGATATTTTCTTGTACAAAATTCTTGCCGCTGCTTTTCATTTGTTTTATTTTTATAAACGCGGATCATCTTGCATCGATATTCGAGAAGTGATCTGGTCTCTAGTAGCATTTTCAGTCTTTTATGACAAAATTGACAAAGGAACTAAAATAAAAGTAAATTTCAGCAGGAATTATATGACAGCAATAGAAAAAACTTTTGAGTCTATTACCTCACTATTACGGGAAGGTAGTGGTTAAAGGGCTAAAAAGAGCTAATACATGCTTGGACCACTAGGTGAAGTCCACTTTACTGGCCACACCGACCATTCAAAAGGTCGACTATTATACTATAATTATTTGGCGCTAAAACCCCAAATATCATTGCTCAAGAAATTGCACATAGTAGGAGAAATTCTCAAATATTCTCTAATTTTTTCTGCATCAAACCAATTTCAACCTCTCCGTAAAAATTTATAAATTATTATTTTTTTCAATCAAAAATATTTTACCTGCCCAAGTGGAAAACTTCTTCAAAAATATTTAAAAACCATAACTTTAAAGCTCTTGATATTTTGATATACCTATGTAAATTTAAATGAACTTATAAAATAATTTAAATTTAAACAGGTGGCAGCCATCTAAATAATATAAAAACTACCACAAATTTTATTCAGTGCTAAATTTACCCTTTTATTTGAGCCCCAATTTTTAAATTCTAACGAATGGTGCTGACTACTATCACAAAAAATGTATAATTAAATAGATATAAATTTTCGAACAGGTGTCAACCCTAATTAAAAATAATTTTAAACTAAAAACATCATAAAACTCATTTGTTTGACAATCATATTTTAATATTTCATATAAATTGTGTACAATTTAGCTAGGCTCGACTTTTCAAAAAGGTGGCAACCCTCTTCAGTTTTATTTTAGAAATACTCATCTATTAATAATTCATTAAATTTATTAACTAGTCTGAATGGCAACCCTCTTCGAACACCAATGAAATATTCTAAATGTTCAAGTAAAAAATGTATTAACACTAATCGGCTTGACATTTATATAACTTATGTGTAATTTAATGAAAGTCGACTTTCCGAGCAGGTGGTTCTTTAAAATATCTTCAAACTTAAACCTTTTAAAATCTATTTTGTCTCTAATTGTGATAAATATTTTAATTAGCTGATGAACTAAGTTGTTTTTAACTTTTTAAACAGGTGGCAACCTCCTAAATTTTGTTTAGAATTAAAGCCTGATTAAAACTATTTCGATTTATACTTTCAATAATTACTTTTACTTGCGAAATAATATGAATTTAACCTTTTAAAAAGGTGGCAGCCACCTTCAAACACCTAAAAAAATATTATAAATGCCAAAAGTAAATATTTCTTAAAACTCTTTTGTATGTCACTAATATTATTTATTATTGCATATGCATATCGTCGTTTAGAGTACCAAATCACGTATCGTCGTTCTGCAAAACCGCCTAACTGGCATTTTTTGCCAAAAATGGCATTTGCTCACACAAGCTCTTGGCTCAATCCTTATCCATTTGGCCTGAAATATACTAGCCGAAAAATGCGACTGCTTTATAAAAAAGAAAAGCATTTTGAAATATCAGTGTTGTTTCTCTCTAGAAAATAATTTATGCAACCTCCCATATGCGGTTTTGCATTGTCTTGATACGTAGTTTTGGATTTTGTTGAAACGCGGTTTTGTACTTTAAACGACGATAGGTAACTTGTGTATATTTTAAATAAATTCAGTTGGCAACCTTCTTTAAAATATTTTCAAACTAAAACCTTCTTAAATCTCTTTCGTCTCTAATTGTGATACATTCTTCAGTTAAGTGATGAATTAAGTTGAAGCAATTTTTAAATAGGGCGCAACCCTCCTCTTATAGTTAAGAAATAAAGCCTTTTCAAAACCATTTTGTTGATATGCATATTGTAGTAATTTATTTAACTTATCAAAAATTTTACTTTAAATTTTGAACAGGTGGCAACTCTTTTCATTTTTAAAATAGTGTCGTTGTAACTCGATGTATTTAGCTCGGCGTTTTTTTCCATTTTTTTATACAGGTCTTCTCAAGATCCTCAAAACGGCGTTTGTTGC